TAGCATGCTGGTCATTTTCCATATGACTAGATTCAGTCCTTTATGCTTGCCCTCATCTTCCTCGCATGCAAAGGGCCCCAGATTCTTGGGTTTAACAGGGCATCATGTCCGAGGTGACCAGTGGTGGAGTCAGACGCCAGGCTGATGGAGCCCTGAGCAATGCATGTGTGCACAGGAAATAAAATGTCCCAGCAGGAAGGGAGTGCCAGGGCAACAGGAAGATGCTGATTTTGAAGGGGCTGCTGGGGCTGCTGCAGGCCCGCCTAACATCTGTTTGAATCCTATGTTTGATGCATCTTAAGCCTAATTGCTCTCGACCCCCAACCTCCCTATTACCGGAGTATTAATTACCTGATTAAAATTCTGCCCTCATAAAAGCATGCCAGCTTCCTTTCTGATATATAAACCATCTCATCATCAAAAGTTAGGAGGGTACAGGGTACCTGGCACGGGTAGTCCATCGAGGACGACCAAAACCTCTGTAGAAAACTCTGTCTGAAAATGTACTGTTAAGCCAGGTTCTTTCCTGTGACTCCCAGCAGAGTAACGGGTTGTAGGATCTGCTATTTGAGAGCAATGTAGGTCCCCTGCTCTGTGACCAGTAAGAGGTGGATGATGGGCAGTATGGAAATCGGAAGCTACCAACTTGGGCAAGAGTTCCCCTATACTGAACCACTTAGGCATTCAGCACAAATGGCCAATGAACTTAGTGGTCTTTCTGCCATAATACATCTTGCCTTAGAAGCCAGTGTTACAGTGTGACTGGTATCTGAGATCATTCGGTTCTATCCCCTTTTGAGGTTTTCCAGACTCGAATAACTGGGCCATTCTCCACAATGTAGACCTTTGGGACCTAAATTAGCGCTACATCTGAATGTTCCCGAATTTCCTATTAAGGGAAGTCAGGATTCTGCCCTTGGACATACCCTTGGTACATCTTCCCATCTGGGATCAAAGAACGCACAGGACTAACTCAGCCACTGGGCATCTGTTGTGTGGGTTCAGTCGCTCAGTCATGCCTGACTCTTTGTGAACCCATGGACTGCATCCCACCAGGCTCCTCTGTCCATGGGATTCTCCAGGCAAGAATACTGGAGTGGGTTGCCATGCCCTCCTTCAGGGGATCTTTCTGAACCAGGGATTAAACCTATGTTTCCTGCATCTCCTACCCTGCAGGCGGATTCTTTGCTACTGAGCCCCTGGGGAAGTCATACTGGGCATCTGTATGCCCAACACCTTAGACTAGAACATTCCAGGTACCTGCCAAGAAATATACCTGAAATTCACAGCCCTCTAAATGTCCAGCCAAAGTTTGGTTGTGAAAACAGACTCCACGAAGGGTTACAATGAAAGTCATGACATCTCTGTGTGGTCTAGTAATTCAAAGTCACCACTAGATTAAGCCACTTCCTTAGGGAACTGTCTACCTGCATCAATAACTGTAGCTCCCAGGAGACCTGCACTAACTGAACTGCACATTAATATGACGATGGCTCTTGCCTGCCATACAATTATAAAGTCCCACTCTGCTCCTTTACTCTATTCCAATAATATCCATGCATACATAGGAAAAAAAAAAAAAGAAAACAGGGCACTGAGGACCATCATGAGAAGCAGCCTGTGCGGGAGAACTTCTGAAGAACAGATGGCAACCATATCATCAAGAGGTAGAGATGAAAAGTAAGGGAGTATCGGGCCCTCCGGCAGGAACATTCCAGAACCATCTCTTGTTGCCACCATCCTTCCCCCTTGGCAAGAAGCAGCCAAGGCCTCTCTGAGGGGCTCAGCAGGAGACTGGGATGTGACTGGAGAGGCGTCACCCATCAGAGCTCACTTTCTACAGGTCAGTGAGGCCAGCAAGGAGGCTGTGACTGCACGTCTTCCTCCAAGGAACAGAGCAAACGGGTCCAAAATTAGGTTCTGTTCTCCGATGGGGTTTTTAGGAAGAACTATGCCCGGGAAAGGGCACCTCCCTGTTGATGGAGCAGCTTTGGAGAAAGAACCCCAAAGACCCAGATGGGGGCATGATAGTCACAGGCAGGCCCCGCGGGATAGTGTTAAGTCTCTGGTTTAGGCCACTGGGGAAGCAGCCTGACTCTATGTCCCAAATAACCCCAATAAATCAGCACAAGGAGTCTAGGTCCAAGAAGAAGTGTATATCTCAAAAGCCTACCTACTAGTGAAGCGTGAAAAGCTTCCCCACCAACAGAAGGAACATGCAGAGAGGCCTAAAGACATGCTTGCTTTTGAGCCCAGTTCAGAAAGGGGAAGCCCCTGCTGGAAGACCAGAGGGAAAAGGATAGTTCACCCCAGCCAACAAATGACACGGTGAGGATACCATCTGTTACCGGTCCTACTGCAAAGGCTTTCCAAAAGGTAATTCCTCTTCCTGTTTGGAACCAAAGAATATTGGGCTAACTCAGCCGCTGGGGATCAGTAGCTCCTGACAACTTAGGACTAGAACACAGCCACTCCAGGTACCTGCAAGGACTATGAAAGTCAAAGTGGAAGTCACTCAGTCGTGTCCGACTCTTTGCAACCCCATGGACTGTATAGTCCATGGAATTCTCCAGGCCAGAATACTGGAGTAGGTAGCCTTTCCCTTCTCCAGGGGATCTTCCCAACCCAGGGATCAAACCCAGGTCTCCCCTACTGTGGGCAGATTCTTTACCAGCTGAGCCACCAGGGAAGCCCTGGAAGCAAATTCACTCCAGCCAGCAAGTCACACAGCGAGGATACCATTTGCTATTTATCCTATTGAAAAGGTGTTTTCTTTTTAAAAAAGGTAAATGTTCCTGAGAGTACAGCGGGGGAAAAAGCCAAAGGAGATGAACTGATACAGTCTTTCCTGGAATCTGGTATTCCATACCCAGAGCCCATAGAAGCATACCCTCTTCAACTCAGGAAGGCTATAGCTGGGAATGTGTCTGCAGGACACAGATGTGGGCACAGAGATGTCAAACGAGGACGCTGATCAGAGTGACTCACAATGGTAAACATCACTGAGAAAGTAAGTTGGCTCGCCAAATGTCGTTTCAGTCCACTGGGGGACATGTGCAGGAGGAATGTTATGTAACTACTAAGATGGTGGCATACAGGCGTGCTTGCTGACATGGGCAGGGGCCTGAGATCTGGCATCGTCTAGCAGAGCAGGGAACATGCCGTGTGCACTGCAGGCCAGTGGAAGGAAAAGGCATAGACTGTAGACACAGCTAGGAGGATACACCTCAAAATGTCAGAACTCGTTTCTTAAGAGGGTATCTGGGAGAAGTACATTTTCTTTGGTATGTTTATCTTTAACTCCTCATTAATCACAGCGCAATTTTCAAAAAGTACTTAAAATTAAAAGCTTAACGTTGTTGTGCTTAACAGTGATATAGACAAATGACCACCTAGTACTATATATATTCTAATCTACACATATACCTACGTGAAGGCAGATCAACGTCACGCAGGGTTCATGGAATGTGTTGTCTGGGAGAGGCGTGACGACTGTCTTCAGGTTTTACCAAAGCTTTCCTAAAGAGCTCCCCATGGGTAGGATGTCTACATTTCTCCCAATAATGAAATCACATGTCTTTTCCTCTACTTTATATAAGTCACCAGGATAAGAGATGTCACTACACAGAGGAAACGAACCTGCCTTACAAGCTGGCGTGCGTTCTTAGTGGACAATAAAAACTGATTCTGACGCACGAGTTGCGTTCAACTCTTGGTTTTGTTGTTCTCAGCGGCTCAGGCTGACCCTGGGTTTCAATGCGCAGTGGGTTCCCTACAAAAGAACCCTTCAGTTTCGGGCTTTCTAAGATGCGACTGGGTGTTCACATGTCCAGTCACGTTCCTTACTCACGTGTCTGGTGTCCGTTGTCACACGCGTGCGTCCCCTACAAGTGGTTGCGCTTCTGTGTACCTTACTGAGCGGTACCGTGGAGAGGACAGCAGCGCAGCACCTTTATTTCCAGCCCAGGATGTCTGGGAGCAAGTGTGAGAGCAGCCTGATGTGGCTGGTACTACTGAGAAGTGCCAGCTGAGGTTCTGTATTACTGTGCGTGCCAAGGCACTGCACTGGAGGGTTAGAAATGCTTTTCCTATTGTGTTTTTTATGCATTGTTTGGAGAAAAGTATCATAAGCCTATGGTGCTCAGTCATGTCTGACTCTTTGTGACCCCATGGCCTGTAGCCTGCCAGGTTCCTCTGCCCATGGAATTTCCCAGGCAAGAATACTGGAGTGGGTTGCCATTTCCTATTCCATGGGATCTGCCCAACCCAAACTGAACAAGCGTCTCTTGCGTCTCTTGCATCGGCCGGCAGATTCTTTACACCAGAACCACCTGGGAAGCCCATAAACTTATTAGAGTACAGTACTGTAAGTTGATGGTGTCAGCTGGGTACCTGAGCTAACTCTGTTGGACTCACAAACAACCTGGGCTTGTGATTTCACTCTCAGAATGGAGCTTGTTCATATGCAGACTTGCTGTAGTTGTTTCTTTTTAGTCTAGATTTTCAGATAGATTTATTTTTTCTCTTTTCTCTTTGACTACTTGCTCCCGTCTTTTACGCTCATGTAAAATACTACTTAAAAAAAAAAAAAAAGGAAAAAAAAAGAACTACTATGAGAACACCATATAGACTGAAAATAAAGGGCTATTCTGTTTAAAAAAAATTAGCTAAAAGAACACTGACATATAATATCAAAATAGAATTTAAGGTGAAATCTTTACTTTGGGAAAGAGGAAGACTACATACTATTAAAGGAACGCTCTGTTAAGAAAGTAACTTTCATTCTGTTAGTATTATAATGAGATGTAAAATTCACAATATTATATAATACTCATTTTGGTTTAAAAATAAATTTTACCAATTAAAAAAAGGAATAATTTAAAATAAAGTAAAACACTACTCTAACTTCCAACAGAGCTGAAAGGCTTGACTGTGCGTGGACCCCCTCTGTGTCCCCACAGCCCAGCACCTGCGAACTTCTCCAAGGGAGCGACACTCACATGTAAACTCGGGTGGTAGGTCAGCACGCCGTTGTCACAGAGGGTGACATACTTCTTCTTCCACTCCTTGTTCAGTGATTTGCCACTGCGCTTCAGCAGCATGCCCTGCAGGTGAAAGAGAGGCCAGGCGGGAATCAACATAGATCATCAAGTCCTGTGCACGTCGTTGAAAAAGAGCAGGCGCACAGGTAACTTTTAAATTGTTAAGCTCCCATCTTCCCTTTGCCGTCTTAAAATGGAAATGACACTTATTTTTGGCTTGGTCATTCAGTTTTCCCCTTTTCCAAAAAATATATATACATTCAACCAATTTCCTTTTGTGTATGTGAGTGCAGAACTTAATATTGTGACATTAACAGGTGCTAAGATGCGCCACTGGTTCAACCAATATAATACAAACCATTGTGATGTGATATATCATACCTTTTCCTATAACTAAGCTGTAAGCACATGGAGCTCCTAAAGGTATTAAAAAGGACTGTAAATTTCCTTTTCTAAAAATAAGACACTAACCATATTCTTCCTTTATGATATTTACAAATAAGAACATTTTATTTTACAGTTTTTCACTTCAGATCTTAATTTATTAAAAATGAAATTCCATTTGCAAACTTAGCAATGGCATTTAACAGATGAACTGTGTATAATTTACTTTAATCCATTTTTAATGAAATCATATTAGAGCTTCTTAAAAACCATTCAACACTTGAAACCGACACACAAGTATATTTAATCCAGTCTTCCTTAGATGACTGATGAGAATTTGCTCTTGTTTTCACTACCAATTCCCAGCAAACCTTCTGTCTCATTTCTAGGCTTTCTTGAGTGAAGAAAACCAGAGGCAGCCTGAGCTCTGCCAGGCCCAGCACCTGAGTCTGCACTTTCTCTTTTCCTGTTGGGGCTTCAGGCCCTCCTGCACGCATGCATTCTGAGCTGCTTCAGCCATGTCTGACTGTGTGTGACCACGGACTGTGGCCCGCCGGGTTCCTCTGCCCATGGGATTCTCCAGGCAAGAATACTGGAGTGGGTTGCTATTCTCTTCTCCAGAGGATCTTCATGACCCAGGAAACGAACCCAGGTCTCCTGCATTGCAGGCAGATTCTTTACCATCTGAGCCACCAGGGAAGCCCCACGCCCTCCTAGGCAAGTCAGTTTTAAACTTGCGCTTTCACAGCTGGATTCGTCTAGCTCCCGTCCACAGAAACGAAGGGGAACAGGAGAACCTCCCTCCTTGCTCTTCCTCTTGCTGCTCACTTATTAATGTGATCAGGGCTTCCCTGGGGTCCAGTGGTTAAGAATCCCCCTTCCAAAGCAGGGACGCGGGTTTGATCCCTGGTCGGGGAACTAAGATTCCACACGCCTTGGAGCAACTGAGCCCGTGTGCACCAGAACCAGAGAAGCCAGCACACTGGAGCTGCTGAGCCCGTGCGCTCTGGAGCCTGTGCCCCACAGCGAGAGAAGCCTGCCCGTGAGCCGCGACGACAGCCAGCCCAGCCAAGACAAGGAGGAGTCCGCGATTATCAGCATGGCTGAGAAAGACTAAGACTATCGCGGCTTAATTCACCCAGATGGACGCAGAGAGAAGACGGTCAGTCTGAGACACAGTCTGACACCCTAAGGAGGTGAGGCCTCCCGAGAGCTTTTATCAGCCCCCATCCCCCTCCTAATTCTATCAACCAGGAACCAAAGTACGAGAAACAACCAAGAAGGCCTTTTTTTATTTTGCATGGACTGCAAAAGCCTATTGCACTTGTGACCCCATGGATTGCGGCACACCAGGCTTCCCCGTCTTTCACCATCTCCTGGAGTTCACTCAAACTCATGTCCATTGAGTCAGTTTACCGGTATTATGACATTGCTTTTTTATGGCCAAATTTTATAAATATAATGGATTAAGGAAAGCTGAGCACTGAAGAACTGATGCTTTTGAACTGTGGTGTTGGAGAAGACTCTTGAGAGTCCCGTGGACTGCAAGGAGATCCATCCAGTCCATCCTAAAGGAAATCAGCCATGAATGTTCATTGGAAGGACTGATGCTAAAGCTGAAACGACAATACCTTGGCCACCTGATGCAAAGAACTGACTCACTGGAAAAGACCCCGATGCTGGGAAAGATTGAAGGCAAGAGGAAAAGCGGACGACAGAGAATGAGATGGCTGGATGGCATCACCGACCCAATGAACATGAGTTTGAGTAAACTCTGGAAGTTGATGATGGACAGGGAGGCCTGGCATGCTGCAGTCTGTGGGGCTGCAAAGAGTCAGACACGACTGAGCAACTGAACTGAACTGAACTGAGCCACCTGGGGACTCTGACCACAATGTTTATTGTTTCTGAGGGAAAACATTTCAGAGTTTGAGGCAACTAACAAGTAAACGTTGGGAAGATCATTTCTTTGCAAGTTCTTATTTAAACAAGCGCATGACATAAAGCTGCAGACCTGGATTTCTTGGAATCTAATCCGATATAAACCAAACAGGGCACTAGACCAACAAAGCGAACGAGCTCCACAGAAAAATGTTAGTTACCATCGGAGGTGACACAGGTTTCAGGGCACAGTAAGAACTAGTGTGTGTGTGGCGATGAAAAAGCAACCACTTAGCATCATTAAAAGTCCCTCCCCAGTGGGATTTCTAAGATTTTAAAACTTAGCCTAACAAAATCTGACATAGGGACTTCTCTGGTGGTGTGGTGGTTAAGAACCCACCTGCTGATGCAGGGGACACAGGTTCAACACCTGGTCTGGGAAGCTCCCATGTGCCATGGAGAAACCAAGCCTGTGCACCAAGAGTTACTGAGCCCACACTCTAGATGCCACGCCACAGGTACTGAAGCCCGTGTGCCCCATACTAACCCCTGATCCGAAACCAGAGAAGCCACCGCCTCCATGAGGAGCCTGCCCACTGCAAATAGAGAAAGCCCGTGAGTAGCAGCAAGACCCACCACAGCCAAATAAATAAATAAAATTATACACATTTTTAAAAAGCCAAATAAAATTATACACACACACACACAAACATTTCACACACACACACACACACACACACACACACAAAGTTCTTCTGTAGGCTCACATTTTCCCACCCTCCATTTCGGATGGAATTCCAGCAATACCAGGGGCCAGGATTACTGGGTGTTGTCATTGGCTAAGAACTGCCCTGGTGTCTCAGAAAGCCTTTTCTTTTTAAAGATATTTTACTACTTTTATTCATTTATTTATTTGGCTGTGCTGGGTCTCAGCTGCAGCTGTGGGCTCTAGTTCCCTGACCAGGGATCGAACCTGTGCCCCCCGCATTGGGAGTGCAGAGTCAGCCAAGGAGGTCCTCCTCAGAAAGCTTTTCCTTTCTGCCTCAAATGAAAGACAGGCCGAAGGTCCCACTCTGGGGCTCCGTGAAGAGGGACACACAGCTGTCTTCGGGGCACTTTCAGGAGCAAGTCCGGCATGGCCCAGTGAGGGGAATGAAGACTCCTTTCTTAAGGGAATAAAGGGACAATTCACCAGGAGGCCAAGTGAAGAGGGGACATCATAGTTTTCTGGGGACTTAAATTAGGCAATTTGTTGGGTGCTAGGAAAACAGTATCTTGCTAAAAAAAAAAAAAATCCAAATCTTTACAATCTTAAATAAACCCTGTGGTTCACCTCAGAGGATTATCTCTGATTACCTGCACTATTCAAACACTGCAGAATTCAGCAGGCCTGAAGACCACTCTGGTGTGTACCGAGTCTCATTTCTGTCCTTCAGTCTTGGCCCCAGCTGGGTTTATCATTCCCCCCGTCAGACACCAGGTGGGGACTGGCTCCTCGCTTCACACGTACACACACATCAGGGCCGCCAGGATGCCAGTCTGGGCCGAGGTGGACCAGGTAAGGCGCACGTTTCTTTAAGCGGCCTGAGCACATGCCGACGCGTTTCTCAGCATCATTCTCTCGCTCACTCGTCCCCCGTCAGCAGCAAGGCAGGGGCTGCTGCTATTACTGCTCCTTCGGTTCGGACGTGAACTCTGACCACAGAGGTGAGGGCGCTCGTTAGCTGATGGGAAGTGATGGGATCAGCCACCCTGCCCTCTCCACTCCTGCTGTTAGCACTGAGGGCTGCTAAGTTCAGACCTGGAAATGACCACTGTGGTCAAGCCTACCAGTTTCCCCACCATGGCTCAGCCCAAAGCCTTCAGTCCCAAAGCACCAGCTCCTTCTCTCCTGGCACAAATCCCCAACCCAAGAGCAGTGGGTCATCCAGGATCCTCAGGTCACTCAAGTCCGATTCCTCTCCTGAGGGGTGGTGGCCGATTGGTACTGGTATTTCATATTCACACAGTGAAAGAAATGACAAGCACCCTTCTAACAGGAACAGATTCAAATGTGCCCCCTAAAATCTACTGCACGTGGACCCAGAAGAAGAGGTTTCTGTTTGCTGAATCTTAAGAGTACCCTGAGAATGTCCTAAACACTGAGTGTCCTTGAGAGGGGAGACCGTGATGAGGAATTTATGGAAGCACATCTCAAGGCTACTAAAAATTTCTAGGAAGGGGTGGTCAGGGCTGTTGCAAGTGGAGAAGGTCAGATCTCCTGATGGAGGCTCACTGAGGCCCAGTGAGGCCACCCTTCCAGGAACAGCCTCCCTGAACTGTGCAGGGAATGCAAAGTTTGTGTCTACGTTTCCAGATCTCCTGATGAGTCAAGAGAGAAAGAAAAACTGGAGCTTTAGGGACAGCTCCTTATTGTAGAATGTCGGCAATGGATTATACACTATCTGCGTGTAATTCAGGCCAAGCCCAACACATGCGCAGGTCAGACACAGGCCCCTCTGTGTTTGTGACCTCGTGCCAAGAGTCAGCAGAAGGCAGTAGCGGAGTCTGGACCAAAGTGCTGGACTCACAGCGGGCCATGTGGGACCTCCATCCTATCACCCAGACAACGGTCATCCACGGCTTTTCACTTCCTGGAAGGGGAGTCCTGGATTAATGCCCACAGCTCTAGACGTCAGGGTCCACCACATATCGATGTGAACCTTCAGTAAAGGTCAGCCACGACCAGGAGAAACTAGCATGTTCGGTGGTCTCTCCATAAATAATAAAGAGAGCCCCATCCTGAAAAACATGATGGG